AACTGAAAGACCTTGACTGACAAGCTGACATTCCCTCCAAAAGACAAAAGTACCTTCACCAGCAAAGGCAAATACAGAGCAGTGTGTGGTGTCCCACACAGCGCGATTCCCTCTTTTTACCTCTTGGAAAACCATGGCCAAGTCTCCAGGTCATGGCACCTGCTCATGGCAGGGTCTCACCTGCCCTTCCTGCCATCACAGGGGGCTCCAGCAGGCACTCCTGTGATGAGAGCTGCACCACTCTCATGGAAGAGCATCTGGGGACTCACATCACGCTTAGGAACTTCCAGAAAATGATCAAAGACAACTCCAAAGGTAAAGGAAACTCTTCTCTACAGAGGCAGTTTTGGAAACCCCTCCATTAACACCTACTTGTAACCCACGATGAGATTTGCTCTGCCTCCCCTAAGGAACTCCCTGACCCCTCCTTGCATTAACATCAAGCCTTGGACCACACAAACACCCCAATATTCCTCTCTAATAAAAGCCACTTACCATCTTCATCATAGCCTGGGCAGGAGGAGAGACCTGGGAGCGATATTTATTATGCTCATCCACGATGATCTTCTTTTCTTCATCACTCAGGCACCAGCTCAGCTCCAGCACTGAGAGCACCAGGAGAACGGGAGGAAGACCTGAGCTCAGCATCGTGCAGGCAGCTTCTGCTCTCAGCAGCCCACGGCTCTGGCAGTCAGATTTAAAGCACCTCCCAAAAGCCAGGAACACCCAACAGCTTGAAGACTGGGGAGGAAATGTATTTATTAGAGTTTTGGGGCCATGCAGAACACACCCATCTCACATATCGGCCTTGATGGCGAGGCAGCAGTGCCAACGACAACGCAGGGTCCTCTCCCTGGGACAGACCCTGTTCCTGAATCCCAATGCCTGGATTGGCATTGTTCATCCAAACCTCTGCTGCTCCAAACCTCAGCCATCCCCTGAGCCCTCAGTTACGGGTCCTCTCCTCCACCTCCTGCTCCATCTCTCCTAATCTGTAACAACAATCCCACAGCATTTGACAAAGCCTTGTTTCCACACGGGTCTTCCCCCGTGCCTGGAACGCAGCTGCGTTAGAAACAAAGGCAGCAGGATGCAATTGCTGAGAGCAGTTTGCAGCACAGCAACTCCCCAGGCAGAGGCAGAGCCCAGGTCTGTGATGGGGGGACAGCATTTGGCAGCTGAGGAACAGCCCCAGCCTGATGGGAACAGGGGCAAGCTGAGGGTGATGCCTCTGCCCTGAACCATCAGCACAGGGGGGAGCAGGAGAGGAAGAACGGGGTACAGAGCTGAAATTGCCCCACACAGGAGAGCGGGGAGTCTGGCTGGAATAGCCAAACCATGGCTCGGCAGGGACAGGCTGTGCTCCCTCCGCAGACACCGGGGGGTTCAGCACCCGTGTCCCGCAACCCCGGAGCCGGAGCGGCTCTGGCCGAGCCCCCCGGGCTGCTCCAGCCCCGGTTCCCATCTGCGATTGTGCAAGCGCCCGGCCCGGCTCCAGCAGCTCCGCAGGGATCGCGGAGGATCAGCGGGTGGGCAGCTCTGAGAGCCGAGCCAAGCTCATCACAGCCCCGGCTCTGCCTCCCCTCTCCAGTCCCCAGGCAATGCTCTGTCGGCTTTCCTCCGGTTTTGGGCCACACGGGTCACCTCTCTCACCACAACAGCTCTGCTGCTGCCCCCCAGCTCTCTGAGCTCTGTGTGTTCCTTTGTCCTTCACCAGCTCTCGGGTCAGCCATGCCCTGGATTGTCCAGCAATTCCTGCAAGTGGGGTCTGAGGCCAAGCTCTCACCAGGTCTTCAACTCCGACAGTCAAACCAGAGATTCCCGTGTATTGCTGAGTTAAATCTGTCTCTTGATGGAGACACCTGCACACATTTGCTGTTTGATCTCTGGAGACTGAGAGAAACATCTAGAAAACATCAACACAGGCTTCAGCTCCTGCTGGCCAGCTCACTGTGGCCTGGCTTACAAGGAACAAGGCAGTGCTGAGAATCATAGAGCCATGGAATGGTTTGGGTTGGGAAGAACCTGAGAGTTCACCTCATTCCACCCCCTCTGCCATGAGCAGGACACCTTCCACTAGTGCAGGTTCTGGTCTCCCCAAAGGTGATGTGGGGATGCAGGGCCAAACTCCCCATTGACCCTGGCACTACAGCACCCTGGCTGAGCCCTGCAGGAGATAACGTGGCCACAAGGATGAAGGAAATTGGGATACACAGAGCTTGTGGGGAAGAGCAAACAGCCCTGGAGGAGTCATCACCAGGGCATGTGGCTCGTGGGGAAACGTGAGTAAGATCTGATGCCTCTGGCAAGTGCAGGGCGGCTGCCAAAGGGGTGCAGGGCCATTTCTCAATCCCAACCTGCTCTGACAGCTTCTTCTGGAGCCAGTGTCTGAAGCATCAAGATTAGCAGTGCAAGGCCCAAGCCCCACCCTGGAGCTGACACTGGTGTCCAGCCGGCATTAGGTAAGTGTGTGTGGAATGTGGGATGCAGCTTTCCTCCTGCTCACTCAAGGAACAGCCCGTCCCCCACCCGGGGAGCAGCAGCCACTGCATGGGGACAGGGACAGGAGCCACACACCAACACCTGACAGCTCTGCTGGCTCCAAGAGGCCCCACTGTGCAGCACAGAAGTGACCAAGGCTGGATTTCTATTGACTCACATCTCCAGGGTCCCCAGCAGGGCTGGCCGGTGTCTAACAGGCTCCTGCTCTGCTTTGGGAGTAACAGGATCTCTCTTTTCTCCCTACTTACACAGATTTATGAGTTCTGGAGGAGTTTGTCATCTTCCACACTATTTATCCATCAATCCACTCTATTATTTAAAAATGCTGAGACACAAGTGTTGATGGGGAATTTCCCTGAGCTGGGCAGGGTAACAGTGGGGTATTGTCCAAACCAGTTCAGTGAGTGCTAAGGAGAGCTGAGGTGAGGGAATCCACCCCATCTGCGACTCATCCAATTGTTCTGTCACCACAATGCCTTGACAGCTGCAGGAACAGCCCCATTCCCACCCAGTTCCACCTCAGCAAGTCACCAGGAACATCAGGCTCTCTAGGGAGGTCCCAGCTCCTGCAGCCTTTCCAAGGATCTGTAAAACTGGAGCTCAAGATGAGGAAAATGACCTCATGAGGGCTCACTTGGAGCTCTTTGGCCAAGGTATCAAAACCTCCCCTTGGTCATCCCAGTTTTGCCATAGTGGGTTTCCCACCCTGGCAATGCAGAAGGTGTGAGCACCACTCCCCTCTGGCAGCTGAAGACAGGAACTACTCTGGAAGCTGTGCTGCAGATTTGGCCAAAAGAGATCCCTTACTCCCAGGAGAACTGCCCTCCTGTTTTAGTTTTGCAGATGGTTACAATGGCCTGGAAATAGGCATTGGGAGAGAGGGAACCCAGCAAGTGAGGTTGATAAAGAAGCCAGACTTCACAAACACCACAAATGCCACCATTTCACCTCAGACAGCACACTGGTGGGTAATGCCTTCTCCTCCTCCCAGAAAAAAGGGCCATAAGGATGTAAGAACCTGGCAGAATCTCTGCCAGGGTCACCCCAGTGCCAGAATCCCCTTTATGCCAACCCCAGAAATGGAGTGGAAATGCTGCAAAACTCTGCCTTGAATGTTTCTGTGTACTCCCCTGTGTACCACACCAAACTCTGTCCTGGCCTGAACCCCCACGCTCACCCTGAAGTCAAGCCCCCAAATGCCTGTGTGGGCAGGCTCAGCCCTGCTGTCCCGGGGAGCAGGGCAAGAGGAAAGCGGATTTCCTTCTGGCTTGGAGTTTCTGCTGCAAGGATCTCTATAAATAGGTCCTTGCACAACAGCCTGTCCCCACAAGTCAAAACCTCCAGGAAAACAAAACTCAAGGGTTTTCACAGCCCCACACCAGTGATAAAACACTGCAGTCCTGGAATTCTGTTGGTGCCTGATAATCAGCAGCAGCAGCAGCATTGTGCCTCGATGGCTCTCAGCAGGGTGGGGGATCAGCACTGAAACAAAATCAGGGTTTGCCCGAGTGCCCTGATCTTGCTGGGAGGAGAAATGTTCTTCTGCTCTTGGTGGTGTTTCTAGGGAACATTTAGGGAATGCCACACTGCCCTTCAGTCAGATGCAAAAGCAGACGAGGTCCTGAGATGCTGTCCCAGCTCTGAGCCCTCTCCCCTGGCAGGGCTGAGTTGCAGCCTCTGGGGCTGTGTTTTTATCATCTGTCCAC